GATATCAGAGATCTGATTGTTCCTTAAAACTTTCCTTTTTGATAAAGCTTATAGTTAGAGTGGCTCAGGTTATCCTGAGCTATCTCTATAGTTATGCTGCTATAGGCTTAGACTGCTGGAGGACATAGGGACCCCTTTCCATCATTCTGCTTCATTCTATCTCTATTCTCCCACCCTACAGAATCTGTTATATATATATATATATATATATATATACAATTTCTAAATGACTGTTAAACTGTTAACTGAGGTATTATTAGTTTAACCTTGCAGTTATGTTTGCTCGACTACCTGCTTTTACTATGTATTAATCTTTACTTGTTTATTTTCCTTCTATTTTGCCATTTAATTCTTGTATAGCACTTTGAAATGTCTCCGTACTGAATTGTGCAATATAAACAAACTTGCCTTTCCTTTATCCAATTAGTTTTGTCAAAATAAGCTAAAAAAAAAGTCGATAACATGTTCAAATATTCAATTTTGCCTTAATTTCAGAGCATACAGGCAAAGTCAAATCATTCTTTTTTGATTATCAACCAAAAGGATACTTCACTGGGGCAACTACCAGAAATAAATATTTATGGACTTGCCGTAACTAAGTAAAGAAACACTACAGTTTTGCAGAGCAAAAGAATCCCCCCCCCCCCCCTTCCTATTAGTTCTGTGTTAAAAAGTAGAGGATTATCATAAGACAGGCAGCATTAAAGGGAGTTTTCATAAGAATGTTATGCAAGAAAAGTGGCAGATGGAGAAAACTAAGAGGTCAATAGGACGGCTTCTTCTTTTTATTCATGATATTTTTCCCCTTTTTTAACCAAACAACATTAAGTCAGAACCAACTAAAGATTATAGGGTGAGAGAGACAAGATGGAGAGCCTTGGGATAACATTTTGAGTGAACACCAGAGATGCACAGATATCAACAAAATTAATATTGTCCGTATGATACATATCAGTAATAGATATTTTTCCCTACCCTTTCGCTGAAAAAAATTGACCACATCCTTTTTTTCCGCTTCAGCCAAAAGCAACCAAAACCAAGCAAACCATGCATAAAATAAAAATAAAAAAAATAAAAAGAATAATTCCTCTCCCATCATGAAACGTAAGCACAAGAAACATGGAAATAAATAAGGATTTTAATAACTTTAGCCAAGTTTACTTGTCATTTTGTATACACAGTATATAAAAAAATAAATTTTGTTTTCATGATATTTCCATTTCTTAAAGTGCAGCAGTGATCAACCTTAACTTTGTGGTAGAAAAAACATGGTGCAAAAAAAAGGCATTGATATGGTCAAAGAACAACACCGAACTTTTAAAAATGACTGATATCAGCCGAGAAAAACGTTAATGTCAAAATAAGGGCTGCAACTAAGGATTATTTTGTTAATCAGTTAATCGGTAGAATAACTGATTAATAATGGGATAGCAAAAGGTTTCTCAAAGAAGGATATTTACAGAAGTATTCACTTGAGGAGTTCTGGGTAGAACATATTTATAGATTAAAACAGATTTTTCTATGTGAAATGCAAAACTTTATTTTACAATTACTGCTATAATTGGTTTGCTTTGTCAGCTAAGGGCATGTTAATGATTAATCAATTACTATATTAATTGACAATTCTTTAAATAATCAACTAATTACTATTAATATCATTAATTGTTTCAGCCCTAGTCAAAATATGATTCAATATAATAATAATTGAACTTCTCACACTGGAGAAATTTACCTCTGATTTTGACCGAACCCCATTGGGGAGCGGTGGGCTTCCATCGTGCGGCGTCCGGCGAGCAGTATGAGGTTAATGGTCTTGCTCAGAGACCCAGAGTGCAGGCTGTGGGGATTAAACCAGGTACTTGCAACCTTCTCAGAGCACAAGCGCACTGCTCTAAACCACTAGGCCATCACTCCCCATAAAGTACCGTGGTATAATTAAACCCTCAAGAGTAGAATAGACACCAAATAAAGAGAAGAAACACTCTCAGCTGATCCCATTCACTGCTGCTTTGTTAAACACAGCTGGCGTAAATGTGAAGCATTACAGAGCTGTTCTAAAAAAAGGCACACACGTGGACAACATTTATGGGAACCCATTTTTACTCTGAAATTAATTAGAGGTGGAGACTTTTCTTTCTTGTGTTCGGCGTTAATGCAAGAGTGCAGGGTCTGCATTTTGAAATCCAAATCTTCTGGAGCTTTTGGAGTTATGCTCAGATGCCCATAAAAAAGTTTTGTCCAATGCTGTATTTTAAGCAGGTTTCAATTTTGGATATGGAAATCTATTGTACTAATAATCAGCTCAGTTTTGTCACATATAAGCTTGAATCCAGAAGCAAATGAATTCCTCTGTGTAAAAGCTTTTAGATTCATAATTTTTGTTCAGTGTTTAATCTGGAAGGTACATTTACAAAAAGAAAAAAAGTTTTTTTTTTTATTATCTTAAAACCTGCAGAAGGAAGGTGCAGAATGGAGCACACTCACCGGGGTCAGGAAGGGTGACACTTCAACAGCTGAGTCAAAACCCAACCAATGCATTGATGGTGATTGGTGGGCAGGTGGGTATGTGGGTGGATGTGGGTCACAGGACGTCAGGGGGGGGGGTTGAACAAAGCCATACGCAGGAGACAAAAAAACAGGAGGAAAAAGAAAGGAAACGATGAGAGACTGGAGAGGACAGGGGGTAAAACATAAAAGCTGACATGATAACAGTGGGGACAGAAACAAATGCAACAGATGAGAAGCAGATTTTTAAAACAGGGGAGAAGAAATCAAAGCTGCAAGGCTGCCTGGTCTGTTGTTGTTTCGTAGAATAAGCCCTGAAGCAAACCTAGGCTATTAAATACAGCTCCTGAAAATTAGAAGCTAAATGGATCCGTTTGTCCCTGCGTTATCAGCAAACCCATGTTTTTTCAGCCCTCAAAAAGGAAAGGAAAACCAAACGGTTTGAGATAATTCCCAGGCAACAGGATTGTTTTTTCCCCCCTTTGGGGCTCTAATCCAATATTGGAATGACCTAAACGCTAAGCAGCCAGTTTAATTTGATAATCAGCCAATACCAGTAAATTCAGCTCGAGATGAA